GCTTTCTTCTCAGCACGGGCCAGTAGCCTCTGCTTCTTCTTTGTCTCTGGCCTGTACTTGTGGGCAACCTTAAGCCACTGGGTAGCTGTTTGCCAGTCCAGGGCATGGGTGAATTGGTTAATGGCAGGAGGAACTATGAACCACTTATAAAGAATGGCCCTTTGTCACTGCAGCCTAATATATCGGGCAATTTGACGAAGCATGTGACATCTCTTTGGGGCTAGATATTTTGCCCAATGCCAAAGTTCTTAGGCCTTTTCTCAAACAAAGGATTGACCACCTTTTTGGCCTCAAGATGGCAAAGGCTGGGCCTCCTACTTCTCTTTGGCCTTCATTCCTTTTGGCATCTTGCTAGGATAGAGAAGAGCACTGGGGAGATTCTTTTGAAGACACTGTAAGCAGGATTAAAATAAATATTTGTCATCTAAAATATTATTATCTGCCACTTTAGAAATAATATGCTACTTAAAGGGCTATAGTCTTCTGTAGGCCACAGGAGAAAGAGCTAAAATAAATAAGTGAAGAAGTAAATGGGTAAATAAATTTATAAAGGATGAGTCACTGTTTGACTCTCAGAGAAAGTATGCCCTGATCCAACGTGTTCTCCATCACCAGGCCTACGAGAAGCACATTGCCTCAGGCCGCCTAGCCTCCCTAGACATCTTCTCCACGAATGCCCAGACCTTCTGTTTTAATCATGTATTCATAAACCAAATGATCTGATCCATACATAAGACACAGGAGAATTTCCTAGGGGCTAAATTTACTAAGATGACAATTCTGTGTTTGATAGCTAAGTGACGTATTTGCAGAAGTAATTACTTTGTGGTCTCTTTGCGGATCTTGTTAGTTTAATGAAACCTTGATGAGCTTCAGTGAAAATAATGTTGCTTTGATCTGACTTGTAAAACCAACACTTGCAGCTCACACCAGCTGTGGTGCTCCCTCTGGAGAGTTGCTACAAAGACCCCTCTGTAGCTGCCAAGTTCCCTGTCTCTCTCTCTCTCTCTCTCTCTCTCTGTGTGTGTGTGTGTGTGTGTGTGTGTGTGTGTTTTCCTCCTTCTGAAAACGAACTGGTATAAGCAAGGCAAGATCCAAGTTCCATCATTGTGAAAGTGCCTTTTCTTCTCTCCTCATTGCCAGTCAAGGACAAGAAGCCAGATGCTGTGACCCATTGGGACCAGAGTCTAGACCTATGACTTATTCACTCTCTGAACCATTCACTAATGGCCCCTCTTCAGCTGTCTCTACCCAGCTTTTTCAAACACTACTTTGATGAGATTCAGAGGGATCATGAGATGGATTTTGGCTCTGAACCTTTAATTTGCTTTGGACAACTAAGGCATGTTTTGTTCCTTCTCCCTTGGGTCAAGTGGTTTCATGAAGTAAGACTCAGCCCTACTCCGAGATAATGCCTCAGAGATATTTGCAAGTGTGTGGCATCAGTGTGACAGTAAGAAAGTCGGACCACACCCTCTGTTGGCACGGGGCTGAGAGGACGCTGTACGCCAATGGGGAGATCTTGCATTCTTCTGAGGATGCCTTTGTGACAGTTTTCCTCTCTCTTCCTTGAAGTTAAGTTTCTCTTCTAACCTTGACTTCTTTGAGAGCTCCTACCCACACAGTTTCTGTGGGTACTGAGGACTCTCTTCACAGGTTCAAGGCTGCTCTGTAGGTTAAATCTTTGGCTTGTGGAGCTGAAGAGTTAGATGTGGTTAAGAGCACTGGTTGCTCTTCCAGAGAACTCGGGTCCAATTTCCAGCACCTACATGGTAGCCCCCAACTGCCGTAATTCCAATTCAGGGGACCCAACACCCTCTTTGGCCTCTGCATGCACGTGGTACACAGACATCCATGAAGATTAAAAAAAAAAGAAAAACCCATACACATAAAGTAAATATAAATAAAGCTAAAAACAGCAACAACAAAAAGAAAAATTTTGGGCTTTGCAGATTAATTGGCCCTAAAATAATTTCACTTATTTATTCCTCAATTTTATGTGTGAGCATTTTGCCTATGTCTCTGTCCATATGTGTGGATCTTATCCCTGCAGAAGCCAGAAGACAGTGCTGATCCCTTAGAACTGGAGTTACAAGTAGTTGTGAGCAGCTTTGTGGTGCTGGGGACCAACTGGGGTGCTCTGAAAGAGCAGTGAGCACTCCTAATTGCTGAGCCAGCTCTCCAGCCCTAAAATAATTTTTAATACACTTTTCAGTGCTATAATATACATACACAGACAAAAACAATCTCGGCTTTAAACATTGTTTTGTTTGATAACATGTGTGAACTGATTTAGATTTCCTTTTGTTTTTATTTTATTTTTATATTAACCACAGGTCATTCACTTTGTATCCCAGCCGTAGCCCCCTCCCTCTTTCCCTCTCAATCTCACCCTCCCTCCCTCATCTCTTCCCTGCCCCCTTACAAGTCCACTGACAGGGGAACTCCTCCTCCCCTTCCATCTGACCCTAGCTTATCAGGTATCTTCAGGACTGGCTGCAATGTCCTAATCTATGGAGATTTCCTTCTCTAGAGTACACAGTAGCATTTTCCTAGTAAGATACAATCCTAGTAAGAGCAGTCCAGCTTTTGTTTGCCATTTGGCCTGAATGGCCCAGAGAATAATCTACCATAGCCATGCTCTGGGATTTGAATGAGTGCATTCATTACGTACAGCAAGCAAAGGTAAAAGAATAAATATCAGATAAATAGAGAGACGTAACAGAAATGTAACAAAACATCATCAAATCAAGTGTCTGGGTATGGTAGGGTGCCTCCATGGGTAAGGCTCCCAAGTTAAAGGACAGATAGAGATGACGGCATCAAATCACAAACAGCAACCAGCAGAAACCGGCTGGGAGTCCTAAAGAGATCCTCTTTACTACCAGCTGTCCCCAAGAGGCCGTCACTACAGGGCCTCTCATCCCGCTGAAGATCTCTGGAACTTGGAAGCGTGATCCCACAACCCAAGACCGGAGTCTCTAACTGGAAGAAGAGACCAATCTGGCTGTACAGACAGTAAGAACTTCTGCGGAGATAGACAAGAAAAGCCCAGGCAGGCTTGCTTACGCCCTCAGGGGATCTCAAAGTCTTGTACTATTTTTGTCCTTTATCTTGGTGCTGGTGAAATTTTAAATGGGGAAGGCATAAAGTGGGCTATGTACAAACTACCATCGTTATGTACGCTGTGATCGCAGACGTGTGCTAAAAGCAGCCTATCGAGAAGAAGAATGAGGAAAGCGTTCTTGAAAAGCAGAGAACCTGCAATGGCACTGGACTCTCGGCACTCAGTGGCACTGATAACTGGCTGGGTAACAGCCATGCCCAGGTCTGAGGTTGAGGCAGTTTAGCCCTGTCTCGGGGAGGTTGTACCTCAGTAGCATCCCTTGTTGGAGGCAGTAACAGGAACTGCAGGAACTCTGTGGCATCTTCATCCATCAGCCAAAGAGAAGAGATGGTGTTGCCCCCACACACACACACACACAAAGCAAAAGAGAAAAACCCTGAGAGAAACCAGGAAGGTTTAACCAGGACCAAGAATCAGATCTGCTCTCTCTCCACACTCACTCAAAGGTCCAGTTCGCTCTGGGCTTTTGGGACAATGGATCATTTGTATGCAAATGAATACACCTCCCTGTTCCTAGTTAATGGCATTTGATAAAAACAGGTTAGTTATGTCAGCGCATACTGACACAGGTCATTTGTCTTCCTCATATACTAGGTCTCCCTCTTAGGCATAGAAGGTGTGAGGACAGAGAAATGAGTTCATGAGGCTTAGGGACATCATCCTTGACAGTGAGTGCCAAAGCCACTTCCACAGACATGCTTCTTAGTCCTCCTCACACTGCTTTCTGATGGTGCAAGATAACAGTGTCTCGTCACAGTTAATATTATTATTACTGCTGTTGTTGTTTTTATTTGTTTGTTGTTGTTATCTGAAACAGTATTATGTAGTTCTGGATGTCCTGGAGAAACCTGCTACATAGACCAGCCTGGCCTCAAATTCAGAGATCCACCTGCCTTTGCCTCAGGCAGGAGTGTTGGGATTGAAGGCATGCGTCACTATGCCTCGCTCATCATGATTTTAATTTGGCCCTTTCAGTATGTTTTGCTCCATTCCTTCACCATGTCACTAAGAAGCGCAGCCACCATCACTCTGTGCTACCAAGCTTAGGAGTCATTTTTTAATCTACTCCCCTCCCCCACAGCAGCAACCCTGCCATTTCCACTTGCGGATAGCTTCTTTTTTCTTGATTTCTAAGGCCACCTCCACGGTCCAAAACATGATTTCCTCCAAAACAAGTTTTTCTTCTATCTTCATCCTCGCTTGCCAGCATCCTCACTGTACACACAGACTCAAAGAACTGGACAAAGGGACATCCATAATAGTAGCCCTCATTGCCAAGCTGACTATCTCATCCTGCCCAGCTCCTGCACACCAGACTCTGCTCAGTGGAGCGTGCTTCCCCTTGCTGGTGGACCGCTGCCATGACTGACTTGTTTTCACTTCAGGTCTCTGCTCAGAAGTCTCCCGTCCATGGAGAGGGCTTTTGCAAATCTGTCCCCACACATGTGTAATCAGCACCAGACAGTCAGCCTGTTACACCATAATTCATTTTTTTTCATCAAGCCTTACTACAAGCCTTACTACAAGCTATGCTGTTTGTGTGCTGCTTTCCCTTTCCACTGTGCATGTTGCATAAAGGCATGCATATGTCGCTGGTGCCTATCTACGCAGGGCTGAACCTGAGAAATAATTCAAAAGGTGTTTTGGGGCGTAGGGGTGTAGCTCAGTTGGTAGAGGGTTTGCCTAGCATGCACAAGGCCCTGGGTTCAATAGCACTGCATAGCGGTGCAAACATGTTAATCCCAGGACTTGGGATGTTAGAGGCAAGAGGATCTAGTTCAAGGCTGTCCTCAGCTACAACACAGTGAGTTCCATGCCTCCCTAAGCTACTTGAGACCTTGTTTTAAAAAGTGTTTTGAATGAATACAACAAATACATAAAAATCATTTATTCTATTAGAAAAGAAATGTAGCTACTACAATATGATAATCGAACAAGAGGTATAAAGTTGACATTCTAACTTCAAGTAGCAGTGAGGATTTTACACAAAGTTGGAGTGTTTCTCCAAGTACAGCACAGAGTCACGGCTGGGTGGAGGGGTGTTACCCTGCCTAGTGATGGGACACTCTTTCCAAGAGTAGGAGATAGAGCAAACACAAGAAACAAACATAAATTATAGGACCAAGACAAAGACATACTAAGACTAGAAATGAGAAGCATTATGCCAAATAATATTTATCAGCCCAGATCATAACTGAAAATATCACAAGATAGGAGAGCACGTATCATTTTTCTTGGACCTTCCATGCAGACATTTTTAGAAAAACTAAAAGCCAAGAAATGCTCTGAAGTTTTACATGGCCAGCAAGAATTTTGCCTTTTCAAAAAGTACAAAATTCAGTGCAGAGAAGAAAGGCCATCTTTCAAAACTGAGTTATAAAATTATCCATTCAATTTTATATGCTCACTGTGTATTAGATATTCGTTTTTTTCACTTATCAGTTTTAAGAGGCACATTGGAAAAATCTGTGAGAATGAAAAGTGAACACCGGAATAAGAAGGCCAAAGTCAGTCAGTGAAAACCCTCTGATGGGCAAGGTCACCATTTAGAAAACCAGGCTTCTGCTGAGTTGCCTTTTCTCGGTGCTGTTCCGAGGGGCTGCCTTGGTGAGCTGAGCCAGCTTTCTGTAAGTACGCTAAGACCAGTCCAGCTCAGTGTCCTCTAAAAGCAGTCGTGTCCGGGGCAGGAGGCACCGACCTCTGTAGGGCACGCAGGAAGCTCCTCTAGCCCCCACAGTCATTCCGAAAGCACCTGTCTCCCAGTCTGGATGGAACCAGGTTTTGCAAAGCTAGGTGTCATTGGGCAAGAGAGCAGTTCGTTCTTCCTCTGTGCCAATGATGTTCTGCACTTTAGATCTACAGTGAGGAGAAAGCCACAGTACTTATTTTCTTTAAAACAAACAAACTAACTAACTAACTAACTAACTAACTAACTAACTAACTAACTAACTAAACTAAACACAGCAGGTGCAAGCCTTTGATCCCAGCACTCGGGAGGCAGAGGCTGGCAGATCTCTTGACTTTGAAGCCAGCCTGATCTACAAAGCAAGTTCTGGACAGCCAAGGCTACACAGAGAAATCCTGTCTCAACCCCCCCCCCAAAAAAAAAAACAAACAAACTACTAAACAGGAAGTCCCTAAACTCCACTCAAGCACCTCCTTGGACCTGTCTGTCAAGCAATGAGGCTTAGGATGCCTAGAAATCTAACAGCAAGGAGGGATGGAATATAGTATTTCTTTTCTATTCTCACAAGCTGACTTCTTTTAAGAGGAAAAACGTCCAGAAGTTGACATACCTTCTTCTCATCTTGGAGTGCTCCCAGAGATAAAATATGCCCATTACAAGTCCCTTCAATACAATGAAACACACTGTCAAAGTAAATCCTCCAAGGCAATTATCCCCAAAATATAAGGAGAGGGAAGAAACCCCCGCAAATCCAAGATTACTCACACTTATCAGAGTCCATAGGCCTTGGATCGCTGCTGCCCACTCGAAACCAATTTTCTCATACAGAAATCCACCCAGCATTGGTCCCATGAAAGCCCTAACGGTGCAGGAAAGAAAGAGTGGATATGTAAGGGTGCAATAACCACTTTATAAAGACACAAGACACCCCAGTCACTGAGCTTCCTTAAACTGGAACAATAGGGGCTGAACCGACAGCACCATTCCTGGCCATATCCGAATCCCAGGCCTGGGTGCAGCTCAGTAATAGAGCACATGAATATGGTCCTCACTGTGATCCCCAGAACCAGTGCTGAGAGCGGGGAGGGGAGCAAAGAGAGAATGATTATTAGACATTTGCAAAAGCGGAATGGCTGCTGTGAGGTTGGTGACCTACATAACAATAAAAACAACAGCACATGTTTAAAAGAACCTTTCTATTTTGAGGGTGAAGGGTACATGCCACATAAGAAGGTTAGAGGACTACCTTGTGGAATCAGTTCCCTTTTTCTTTCCATCTTTATATGCCTTCCCAGGACTGAGCTCAGGTCTCCAGGCTTGCGTGGCAAGCGCTTGATCTGCTCAGGACCTCACTGCCACACTATTCTCCCTATTCTTAATTATTCTGAGTCTGTTCAGTACACAGTTAATGACTTTGTATGTGTCATAACGCCACCATACAGCACATTGCCAGGTCTAGTACAAAACGAGTAACTAAGCCAGCAAGCAAGCACGTGAATCAAGAAAGGAATACATTTAAAAAGCCTGTGACCTGCTTCTGCTAAAGGAACCCTTGAGGAGTACTCAATGCGAGGCTCATGAGGGTATATCAGTTTGGTGTGGAGTCTGCCGATATCCTACATTCAGGGTGTGAATTAGAATTCTTTGCTCAGCCCCGGATGAGCTTTTGCCTCACAGAGAAGCTCATGCGCCCTCTCGGTGTTTCACTTTTCCAACTGTAGCGTAGAGACAGCACTTGCCATCTCCTGAGTGCAAACGGATTCACTTACCCAATCGACCACATGGCACCAAAGAGACCAGATATGAGTCCCAGCGTACCTATGCCCTCTTCAAACCCATTCTCACTGCAAAGAGAAACATGGACATATCCGTCATGAAAAGGAACGCTTGTATGGAAAGAGCAAAGGCTGCTCAATGGAAATGCACAACCAGCTCTCTGTCCTCTGAGCATCACTGAGAAACCCCAGTACAGCCACAGACCTCAGTGTTCATGTTTGCACACCATACAAGGAAACAACGGCCAAGGGACAGATGGCTGGTCACCCTATGCTCTTGTATGGTTCTCTTCCACTCAGTGGGGGAAACACCAAAACCTCTCCACTTGGCTCTGGACTTTTAAAATTATTCACACACACACACACACACACACACACACACACACACACACACACACGCCAGCTGAGGCATATAGCAAGCCAAGGATCTCCCATTAACTTACTCTACCTTACAACATATTGTCCCTATGCTAATATCAGTATGGTTTCATTATTACATGATTTAGATCACAATATTTAAATGCTCTGAAATCATCAAGATTTACTGTTGTGCAAACATCCAACATCCTATGGACTGAACAACTGAGGTGAGACTGACGCTCCTCCCATCCCCAACTCCCGCCCCCACCCTTCGCCCACCACAATGAGACTCTTCAAATGACTGATGGAGACACTTACTATGCACAGCTGAGCATCTCTGGGAAAGTTGGGATGATACTCATCCCAGCAGAGATGCCATTTACAACTAACACCAGTACCAGAAGCCAGAGCTGACTGCAGAAGAATTGTGGAAGAAACAAACACATTAGTATTAGTAAACTCAAAAACCAAGGAGGGCAGGATCCCAGAGATAGCAGCTTCACAAATGACTCAGCTTTTCCAGCTCATCCCACCCCATTCAGTGAGATCTCACACTAGCACCTTAGACCTCCACAGCAAAAGCCGCCCATTAACCATCTGAAATCACTTTTCACATACATTTCACATACATGTATCTAGTCGTACATACTACACATCTGTAAGCACCTGGCTTGCTCACATAAGAAAATCCTCTTAACTTCAATGCTGTTGTTCATCCTGAAACTCAAATTAACCAATGGCAAGGAAGGCAGGGGATGGAAGAAGAGACCAGAAACTGGAACTTATTCTATATTGGGTTCCATCTAGGCACTGGACACACATTATGTGTTTAATTTTGTTGTTGTTGTTTTGTTTTGTTTTGTTTCATTCTTGTTCTTGTTTTTCAAGGCAGGGTTTCTCTGTTTAGCCTTGGTGGTTCTGGACTCGAACTCACAACCATCTGTCTGCCTCTCCCTCCCCAAGTGCTGGGATTAAAGACATGCACCACCATGCTCGGCTATGCATTTAATTCCTGTCTTGTATGTATTAATTAGCTTCAGCTCCTTTAAACATTTTTTTTAAAATCACAGTTCTTTATTTTGGAGGGAAGGTGTGCCGTGTGTGTGTGTGTGTGTGTGTGTGTGTGTGTGTGTATGTGTGTAGGTCAGAGGACAACGTGCAATAGTTGGTTCTCTCCTTCTACCTCATATTTAACTCCCGGAATTAAACCCTGGAGAATTAACTCCAGTTTCCAGCTTGGCAGCAAGAATCATAACTGTTGACTGTGTTGTTAACCCTGGGTTCTTTCTACAGAAAGCTTAGACTCTTGGAAGTTAAATGATTTGTCCTAGTTCTACTACCAATTGACAAAGTCAAAATTCAGATCCAGATCCAAAAGACTCCAAAATCCTCCTCCTCCTCCTGTGATGCTGTGTTTTATCCTAGAAGCATGTGAAAAAAGTCGAAGAAGCTCACTTTGTTTTAATAAATAAATTACAGCAAGTAAGTTTTAATGGGTAACTCATACATATTAAGAATGACCCAGAAACAGTAAAAGACTTGGCCCCTCTCAATAAGTGGGGAGAAAGAACTACAAAAACAAAAAAATAAATTGCATTCTCAATACATGCTATTTTGAAAATAACTCCAGACAACTGTGCAATTAAAACACAGGGGAAGGCTGGGTAAGATGGAGGAGGAGTTAAGAAGATTCTGAGTCGAAGGCCAACCTCAGCTAACAAAACAAAACAAACAAGCAAACACTTTATAGACAAGATTCAACATTTTTCTCATTTGATAAAGTTTCCATGTGTTAAGATTTGCTTAAATCAGCCGGGGGCAGTGGCCCACGCCTGTAATCCCAGTGCTCTGCAAGGCAGAGGCAGGCGGATCTCTGTGAGTTTGAGGTTAGCCTGGTCTACAAAGTGAGTCCAGCACAGCCAAGGCTACACAGAGAAACCCTGTGTAAAACAAAACAAACAAAGATTTGCTTAAATCACTGCCAACTTCTTGTAAAGAAAGCATCATCAAACAGACAGTTCAATACAGTTGAAAGTCAAAGTCATTGTTTAAATTGCAACGCTTACAGTACTAAACTATTTAAAAAGTTAAATAATCACTATTTCTCCAGAAACATGGAAGACAAGAAAAGTTACCTTTTCATGTGAAAAATGGGTACAGGTCCTAGCAGCATGTAGCAGCCAGCTGTGATTAGGTTTCCAAAAACCAGAAACCATTTCCTTAGATTCTGGTAAAGAGAAAGAGTTAATAGCTTAAACCAAAGGACCCTAGGTAATCAAACAATATGAAAAAAATAAAAGTAAGGACATTCAAAAATCCGAATACACTGAAACAAATGAAATTGTACATTTAAGAGAAAACAGGTAGACGACAAACGTATAGACAAGGAGACTATTTTGAAAGATGGTGGGATGAGTATAGAAATCCTGCAGGAAGGGGGCAAATTACAGAATCTGCGAATCACAAACTCTTCCAAACATCTCAGAACTTGACAGTCTGTCACAGTGTCTTTGCAAATACTGACTCTAGATTAGCCTCGGCTATACTATAAGGCCTTGTTTTCTTAAAAAAAAAAAAAAATCAATCCCATAATCCAATAGTTTTCTGAGGTTTTAACATCAGACTTTTACACATAAAATAGAAGCGAGTCTACTTAGAGCAAAAACCGAGGTTGGGAGACACTGCATTCTCTCTATGGGGCCAGCCGAAGGTGTCAGCTTTAAACAGCAGACCTTTAGAAGTAGCTACAGATGAAAACATGCAAGAGGAACTCAATTATAAAGCAGTGTACGTACGGGCATCTTATCACTGAGCAGACCAAACATCGGCGAAGAAATGGTGTAGGACAGAGACAGACCCAGGAAGACCAGTCCCACGTATCCAGCTGATAGACTGAACTGGAAAAGAAACGCCGTGTTGGAGACGAGTGCTAAATCTCTCTTTAAAATAAACATATTCCTTTCCTCCCTGTGCCTGAGCTATATTAACAGTTAACAGTCAATCAGTTACAGCCAGTGTTTGTACTTTAGCTGTCCACAGTAGAGAATGATGTATAGGGAGGGGGGATATTTCGGCTCATTGTTTCAGAGCATCACGGCGGGGAGGTCACAGGAGAGGGGAGCCAGGAAGCAGAGAGAGAATGCCTGTGTTAGCTGGCCTTCTCCTTTCATTTTTTTTCTTTTTTTTCATGGCAGCCCCAGCCTCTGAGTGGTATTGCCTACATTCAGGGCATCCCCACTTAGTCAGAGCTGTTTGGAAATAACCCCAAGAGGTACCAGAGATACATTTTACTAATTTTTAAGGCACTTTTCTATCTAATCAAGATAAGTTTTTATCGCATTCCTCTTAACTTTTTCTTACTTTGTACATGGGTAAATACTTTCCTCTAAAGAGGAAAAAAGTTCCAACCACTTATTAGAAATCCTAGAAGCTTGATTTTGTAGCATTTGACATTAAACATATAATTTGATTTCTACAAATTGTTACATTTTCATCTATAGTGTTTCACAAACACTATTTTATGTATACCCAAAACCACATAGAGAGCTTATTAAATGATGCTCTTAGATCCTAGCCCTGCGGTTGGGTTTGTGGGAGGGGAAGGCATGGTAGGGTCTGTGCAGGCCAAGGTGTGTCACAGTGAAAAGCAAAATAACTTTTGGTTCCTTTCTCCTATTCTACAGTATAGACCATAATCATCTGATTATATCAAATAGCTAAAAAGTAAAGGACCCAGAGGACATCTGGGAGAGAAGGACACCTCACATCAAAAGACCCGGTGGCCACACCTAATGCCTCCCTACAGTTCACACAAGTAAGAAAACCTGTCCTGGTTAAGCAGCCTGGACAATGCCTGCACAGACAATGGGAGCCAGGTCTTGGGTAGGAGGAGACAGTGTGTCAGACACCAGGGCAAGATTCTTTCTTTCTTCTTAGTGGATCAGACCCCATATCACAGAATCGGAGCGCTAGCTCAAAGGAACAACTCTGAGGGAGAGTCTTCCTCTGAGTGCAGCCTCCTGTCTGCCTCCCTCACAGCAGAAGGTCTTTCCCTAAAGAAGAGCCCAAGGGCTTGTAATTGTGGCCTCAGGTGAGTGTGCTAGGGGCTGCTTACCTTCTCCATGACAAAGAGGGACAGGACTGGGTCTAGGAAGCCGAAGCAGGAACTGAGCGAGATGATGACGAAGGCGATGAGACGGACCTTGGGTAAGGTGACGAGTTTCCAGAAGGACTGTTCGCAGGGATCAGACTCTTGGGGTTAAAAATAAAAACAGAAACACCTCATGGCAATTAAGGTCTCTTAGCTTTACCTTTTAGCTTACCTTTAGGGGCAAAGCCGGTAATTAAACAACCGTACCTCTGAGTGGCCTGAAATTAAATATCATTATCTACATTAGCCTCTAAATTCTGCAGCTTTAGAAGCCACAGCAGATTTTATTCGAAACATGGACTGTCCTGGCATGGTGGCGAGTGCCTGCCGTCTCAGCCCTTGGGAGATATAAGTCCGGAGGATGAGGAATTCAAGGACATTCAACTTCAGCTTCGTACTGAGTATGAAGTCAGCCTGCCTATGTAAGACTCATCTCAAGAAACAAACAACAACAACAACAAAAACCCAAATAGGGAAAAACGAAACAAAACAAAAGCCAATACTCATGTTCTCAAATACGAATAGAATCAAGTAGAATCAGCATGTGTGGGGAGGTTTCTAAGTCACAATCTAGAAGTAAGGCCTTTTGGATGGGACAGTGGGCAGCTTCAGAAAAAAGCGCCATCTGTGCTTCGAGCCTCACCAAGGAAGCCTATGCGTTTAAGGAGGGACTCACATTTTGCTTTGTAAAGCAAGACCCAGTTATTTTTCTGGGTGCCAAATAAACACTGTATTGAGAGCCTGAACGGATCTTTTGTAAACTACTTTTATCACTTAAGATCAGGTCCCCCATTCTCCTAACAGTAACCCGTGTTCCTGCCTTTCTGAGTATCTAGCACCGCTTCCTGCGAGCCTGCAGTCACAGTGACCGACTGACCGTTTTATTCTCTCTCTACTAAGTTTTCAACACTGAACTTGGTCTCCGGGAAGACCAGCAAGTGCCCTAAACCATGCAGCTGCCTCTCCAGCCTCTTCTCCAGCCTCTTCTCCATGTCTCCCCCCAAACCCCGCATGCCCCCCCCCCACATTTAAAGACTGGGAAAGAATGCAGTGCCCACGAGGCACCTCCTAAAATACACCGAGAAGCATGAGAAATCGCTAGGGATTTCACAGAGCGTAGCTCTGATGGTGAACTCTGCCTTCCAGGAGCATGGTTAGAATTGATTGCTGTGAGCTGGGCGGCGGTGTCCCACGTTTTTAATCCCAGCACTCTGGAGGCAGAGACAAGTTGATCTCTGAGTTCGAGGCCAGCCTGGTCTGGAGAAACCTTGTCTCAAAAACAAAACAGAAAAGAAAGGAAGGAAGAAAAAAAGGAAAAAGAAAAGAATTGATTACTGTGGTCCGGGACAGAGACAACTCTAGATGGGAACATGAACTCCAGGGAGGGTCAGAGTCAACCCTCATAGATTCCCTGTTTGCCCACAGCATCCGCCACCATTCATCACAATAGCCATGTGTACGCAATGTTCAAAATTCAAAGAGTGCACGAGCTTCAATTACTTTAGGGAATATTCTCAGGGAAACTTCCAGAATACAGTGATGAAGTCAAGACTGTTACCAGCCTGTTACTCAAAAACGCACAGGAGCTCAAGCCTCAAACTGCAGTCTGTATTTAAATTTAGAGGAAAAAGTGCCATCTTGTGGTAGAACGAGGTATTGCCAGCATGTAGTCAACCTTAAGAGCACGTCTTCAAGAGGACCAGAGTTCAGTTTCCAAGCTTCCAGCACCCCCATCTGGTGGCTCACAATCACCTGTAGCTCAGGCTCCAGAGGACCCAATGCCTCCGGCCGTTTTGAGATCTGCACTCACACACACATACACACACACCCGCACATAACCTAAAACGATAATAATAACCGGGCATGGGGGCACATGCCTTCACTTCCCCCACTTAAGGGGCAGAGGCTGTTGGATCTCTGAGCTCCACACCAGCCTAGTCTGCAGAAAGAGTTGCAGGACAGCCAAGGCTACACACACACACACACACACACACACACACACACACACACACACACA